TCCCCGTTAGGCGAAAGTGTACGCAGCCATCATTCCCTTAATATTACAATCTGCAACAGCTGAGTGAATATCAAGACGTTGCGTGCTTGTTAGTCATGGCACAGCCATTACTCGACGTGGGCCATTCAACTTGAGGTGCCATGCCTGCCAGCATTTTCACCATCTGCAAGATAGGTAGCATTGCATCTCAGGCCAATATCAGCCACGCTGCCAAGAGATGTTTATTGCTAAGACACATCATGTGATACATTTCCCAACTGCATCTCATGCGGCCGTACATATATTCAGCTCCCACTACCTTGTCGTTGCTGGGAATGCGGGAACTGCAGACGCACGAGAACCCTGGACTGCCGCAATATTGAAAATCCCTGCTCTTAATGCGAAGGTGCATCAACTCGAGTATGCTGTATGCCGGGCGGCGTTTCTCATACCTCCATCCACCAAGCAGGCCATTCACGCAAGACCACGTACCAAAAATGCAGTCTCATACGCGCCTGTGGACGATTTCTAAGCGCCGGTGGACGCATGCAACCCCCAAGTCACTCAGGGGTGCGAATGGCAACATCACGACGGCGATACGCCGATGCTCATATCAAACCCGGCTTTTACTGCAAGGGACTATCCAGTTGGGAAATTTCTACGTTGCTCCAAAGGGTTGGTTTAGTATTTATTTCGATACACCCGGTGTGGAGTGTATGAAGCCAAGGTCTGATAGAAACTGCAGAATTATTCGAACGCTAATTAAATCCTCGAGTGCATATTCCAATCAACCTCCTTTTTAATTTTATTCCAGCCGATCTGGTTTTCCAGTCCCTGTCTCCGGTTCGACACGTGTAATGAAAGGTAGACAGCTAGTTTGAAGAAAGTATCAATCTGTTCCCTTATCTCAAAGTCTAGCAGAACACGATCAGTACAAAGGTGGAAGAGGACAAAAATCTATGAATGGCAAACCTACCAGATAAGGAATAATGCCCCTTTCCTCCTCTACATTTTTTCTAATCTGGTATGAAGCTGCGGCCCAGCAGCTTCTATTCGATAATGACTAGCCCATCATGAATGACAGACAGAATGTCTGTGGTAGCGACATGACGAATGCCGAAGAGATTTAAGCAATTAAGTCGGCAACGTTCATGGGCATTTCATCGATCTGGGTAGAGTAGTACACTTCAAGTGTGTTAGTAGTGTTGACAACAAACCAAACGAAAGAACTCAAACTCACATTCAATGTCGCGAAGAATACGCACATCTTCGGTAGTAACGAAGTTGATAGCAACACCCTTGCGTCCAAATCGGCCGGAACGTCCAATACGGTGAATATAGTTCTCACGATTGCTAGGAAGGTCGTAGTTGATAACCAGACTGACTTGCTGCACGTCGATACCTCGGGCCCAAACATCTGTGGAAATCAGGACACGGCTGTTGCCCTGGCGGAAGTCCTGCATAATGCTGTCGCGTTCCTTCTGAAGCATGTCTCCGTGCATGCTACTGACCGTGAAGTTGGCCTCACGCATCTTGTCTGTAAGCCAGTCGACCTTGCGTCGTGTATTGCAGAAAATAACTGCTTGGGTGATCGTAAGGGTGTCATAAAGATCGCAGAGGGTGTCGAATTTCCAGTCCTCCTTCTCCACAGCAATGAAGTACTGCTTCAAGCCCTCAAGGGTCAACTCGTCACGCTTGACCAGGATACGGACAGGGTCAGTCATGAACTTCGTTGTCATGTCGAGAACATCGTAAGGCAGCGTGGCGCTCACGACCACAACCTGGGTGGCAGGTGGCAGGTAGCGGTAAACGTCGTAGATCTGCTCCCGGAAACCCTTATTAAGTAGTTCGTCGGCCTCGTCCAAAACCAGCATCTTGATATGTCTTGTTCGCAGATGGCGCCTTCTGATCATATCGGCCACGCGGCCTGGCGTGCCTGATACAATGTGTTGTCCGTAATCGAGCTTGCGGATATCCTCTCCAACATTGGTCCCTCCGATACAGGCGTGGCACTGGACGTTCATATAGTCACCCAATGCCATGACCACGGACTGGATTTGCGTGGCCAGCTCACGCGTTGGGGATAGTACAAGAGCTTGTGTCTCGCGCACGGCCGTGTCAATAACCTGGAGCATGCTGATCGAGAACGTAGCTGTCTTGCCAGTACCGGACTGGGCTTGCGCGATCGTGTCGCGTCCCTTGCACACCTGGACAATGGCTCTGGACTGCACAGCGGAGGGAGATTCGTATCCATAGGCGTAGATTCCACGGAGCAGGTTCTCTAGAGAGGGAGGTTAGCATTTCACGTGGGCATTTGAAGAGATCAAACCTACCCTTCAATGACATAGACTCGAAGGTGGGGTGAACAGTAACCTCTTTCGAGGTTGAGAATTCCATCCGCTCATCGGCCTTGCGGTCGATTCCACCAGCTCCTTCAGCCATGTTTGCGTGATTTGGGGGATGGATGAAGCCTGAAAGGTTGTCGATTTGGGTGTCGTCAAGTGCAAAAAGTTGGTGAGGTTGAGTCTCTGATGCGGTTGGCGGAAAAGTCCAGAGGCAATGAATGGTACCCGCTTTTACTCAGGAAGGCAACCAATAAGGGGGTCTGACACTTTACACTTTTCGTGCTAGCTCTGGCGCGTTCTGAACACTAACCTAATTATTTCATCCAGCTCAATCGCTGCCTTGAAGGTCGCCCAGGATTTTCCATCCCAGTCCTCGATCTCATTCGCGACAAATTCTGAGCGGAATCCAGAGTCCAATATCACCATCTATCCAAAATGCTCGTTCTTGAGGAGCAGCGATATATTCATGAAGATCTGGAGCGCATCGAACAGGGCATCGCCGATCGGATTCGCGATGAGCCTAAACAAGTGAGTGCCACGCGGTCAATCCAGCTCGAAGAAGGTGTTCCCATGCTAACCAGCGTATCTCATCAGATTCGCGATCGCTTAAATAGAGACCACGAGATCAGTCAGCTTCTGGATCAATTGCAAGCCCAGTCAGCAAAGCTGCTTGATTTATATAAGGACGAGAGCGGAGTGCGAGCCAGTGAAATCCAGCAGATCGGAAAGGAGGACCCCTTCGCAGAGTTTTACAAGGAGCTCAAAGATGTCCGCGACTATCACGCCAGATATCCAAACGAGCAGGCCGAGAACACAGAGCAGCGGTACAAGATACGGAGAACTGGCGATGGAGAGGCAGGGCCCTCCGTTGTCGACATGCTATTTTCCGGCGAGGAAGCTTTCGGACGATTCTTCGATCTAACTACCGCACACGAAGCATTCCTCAACTTGCCAAATGTCAAGCGACTTAATTACTTGCAATACCTGGAGGCGTTTGACAACTTTACGCCAGGGTATGGCGGGGTGAAGCGCAACGAGAAGCTTACCGACCAGTATTTCAAGTACCTTGGCGACCTCGCAAACTATCTCGTATCTTTCATGCGCCGAACGCGACCACTGGAGGACGCAGATCAAGTTCTGGACTCGTTCGACAAAGAGTTTGAGTCGCTATGGGAAAAGGACGAGGTCCCCGGTTGGAATCTCGAGCAACCAAATTCAACTGGTGCCGCGAGGGACCTGAATTCAGCTGACGCTGTGTGGTGTGAAGATTGCGAGAAAGAATTCAAGAACGAGAACGTATACAAGAACCATCTGAATGGGCGCAAACACATCAAGGCGGCTGAAGCACGAAAGCAAAGGCAAGGAGACACCGAAAGTTCTGCTGGCGGAAGCAAGGGTCCTGGCATTTCTGCCACAAGATTAAGAGAGAAGGCCGTGGCGGAGCGCGAGTTCCGGGTCAAGCGACTGGCAAGTGCCATGAGCACAGAACGAGGTGACACCCGAGTCAACGTGGAGAGAAAACAGGGAATGACGGAACGAGAACGCCAGCAGGAGCTCGATAATCTTCTGCGCATCTCCGAAACTCCCCACGAAAGCGCAGACCGTGGGGAGGAGGAGGGTGAGGATGGCGAAGAGAAAATCTACAACCCCCTGAAGTTGCCCTTGGCTTGGGACGGCAAACCTATTCCGTTTTGGCTTTACCGCCTTCACGGTCTGGGTGTTGAGTTCGCTTGCGAAATCTGTGGAAACTTCGTCTACATGGGCAGGCGAGCATTCGACAAGCATTTCAACGAAGCACGACATGTCTATGGCCTTAAGTGTCTCGGAATTACACAAGTGAATCTGTACCGAGACATCACCAAGATTGAGGAAGCGACCAAGCTTTGGGAGAAGATTCAGCGCGACAGGAAAAGGGGCAAGGTGGACGACGGCAGTGTTGTGCAGATGGAGGACGCTGAGGGTAATGTGATGCCGGAGAAGGTGTATTATGATTTGCAAAAGCAAGGTCTTTTATAAAAGACATGGCGTTATCTTGTTGTACTCTACCTAGAATATGTATTTGCATAAGTCGGTTGACTCTCTGCCTGAGAGCTTAGTCATCATTTTCTTACATTGAAACGTATCTGTGTATTTTCACGGTTGAAACTCAATACCTACCATCGTAACACATGCTCGATTGGAAAAAAGCCACTGCTTATGATAATGCCCTTTTATGAACAATCATCCCTCTAAATAGGGAATGGCAGCACATATTTCCAAACCCATTCCGGCTCTATACACGGTCTATGTACTACGCTCAACAATTCGCCACGCCTCTGTTTACATTGGCTCAACACCAAACCCCCCCCGACGGCTGAAGCAGCACAATGGGGAGGCGAAAGGCGGAGCTGCCCGCACATCGCGGGAAAAATTACGACCATGGGAGATGGTTGCCATCGTCTCCGGATTCCCAAGCATGGTTGCCGCATTGAAATTCGAGTACGAACTAAGCACATGAGAATCAATCAACTAAGCAAACTAACGATGGAGCAGATGGGCTTTGACCAATCCCCACTCATCTTTACATATCCCTGGTGAATCTCGGATTGCAGTATCTAGGGGCAGAAAAAGAAACGGGATGCCCAAGAGGCCAATCCACACTCTCAAGTCCATCATGTCAAATCTCCACCTTCTTACCGGAGTTCGAAGCTTTTCTCGTTGGCCCTTGAAGTTGCACTTTTTCTCCAAGGATGCGCATCTAGCTTGGAACGACTGGCTCGCGTCATCAAACGAGTCGCCCAGGTCGGGCTTGACGCTGTTGGAGGAATATAAGCCTTCCGTATCAGGGTCATCAGGGTCATCAGAGGGACCACGAACCATCCATGACCTACCTCTTGACTACAATCATATCGCAGATTATGTTCAAAAGGCCCAGAACGTGGTCGTGTTCGAACAAGAAGGTCATTGTGTTCATTGCAATGGCGAGATCGCTTCGACCCAAGACCTCCTTCCAATGTGCCCAAACCGAGGGTGCAGGGCAATGGGTCATCTGACTTGTTGGAGCAAACATTCCCTGGGTCCCGATAATGATGGAACGATTATCCCCGACCAATGCAAATGCCCTTCTTGTGGCGGTGAATTCCGCTGGGGCGATATGATGAAAGAATTAACACTGAGAGTCAGAGGAGCGAAGGATATCGAGAAGGTGCTTAAGAAAAAGAAGAAGCAAGATGCAAATAATCCAGCCTAGAATTGCCACACACGGTTGTGTATATAATATATGGCAAAGCCGGGGTACGGCCACTACATAATACAGGGTTCTCTATATCCCACGGAGAGAAGTCCATGATCATGGAATTACCAATTCAATCTTATCTCTACTCTTAAAATCTACGTAGGTTTACAATCATGGGCGACATTAACTGGGTTCTCCGATTGGTGCATTCTTGATATTGACTGTCACATGGATGCTATACATGACGAAGTCACGTGAAATGTGCCAAGGCATCGTTCTAGACCCAGAACCCAATTGTGCAAAACTGCAAAACATATTTCGGCCAGGTTCTTGGTTCCATCGGAAGAGACAAAAGGCTGTCAGCAAACCGGATCATGAAGCTCCTAATCTACTTACATGTATTCATGTGTGCATCCTGTGTTCATCAACTCAGCGTTCGTGTACGCAAAAATAAGGCCAAGATTTCCTCGCCTTTGAGCTCATTAGTGCAAATTATGGTAGATATTAACATGATGTCAAATGCAAAAGCCAACATGTCATTTAGCAGCTGCGTCTGTCGTTTTTTTAATTGCAAATTGGCCTAGCGCGTGGCTTGAGATGGCTGAAACAAAGCAATGAGGTTCTTTGCTTTCGGCGCTGAGGTCAAAGCTATGGCCGGATGTCGTTGCAGTGGGTCCCTTGCATGAAAACAGACCTGGGGTATCTGGTCCGCCGTGTCTCGTCCCGCAATCAGCAATGGCCCAGCAATATTTCCAGCCGCAATAGTCTATTCAAGCCCGCCAGCATGCCTGTTATATCACTTTCATTTCCTGGCGCTGGTCTTGCGCCAGCGACGGCACAATGCAGGGGATGTCGCACTCCAAGGTACCCGTCCGACGGAGGCTGCAGCCTGAGGCACGACATAGAGGCCGCCCCGTCGAGGTCTCCGAGAGTCCACCGGTCATGCCGCACGATACGGCCAGCCAATCCATGTGCTTATGTACACAGTACTTTGTCTTGGTGCGAAATTTAGAGTTTGTGAGACGTTCCCTGGACTTTGATCTTACCCAAAATCGTATGGGTCGCCCACAGGGAAGGGCCTTTCCCCAGCCCTGTGGCCCCTGCGGGCCTGCCCCTTCAGCTTTATCCAGCGTGCGGTAGCGCACTGCAGTACCTGAGGTTGGTAGGAGGGAAAAACACAGTGGTCATGGGTGGTCAGTACTGGCTTCCTGCTAAGAATAATCCCCGTACACATTAAGGAAAGTGCCGCCCACATTTGCGATCCGGTCACCTCCCGCCCTTCCTCACCACGTCTCTCCCTCCTGCCGCATATCCAGCCGTCTCTCTTCAAACTCACCATCTACATACTTGGCGCATGCTCGGCTCCTCTCCCACCCTCTCACTCCTTGGCACAACAACCCCCTGGAGCCATTGGTCCATTTTCCTTCCTCCTCTCTCTTGTGGTCTCTTATTCGTGCGATCAGCTCTGTTTCTCTCGATACTGCTTTCCAAGGCCTCCCATTGGTCTCGTGTTAGTAGTGGCGGCATCTCTCGTGATCACCCTCCATTTTAAGCTTTTCCGCTGGCTGGGCTCAGCTTCCTCTTCTTTCGCATCAGCGAAAATAATCTGGCCCGACAGTTTCCAGTACTCGATCCATTCTCGACTAAAACGGAGGAAATATACAATAGACGTGGGTCTGACCAACGAGTCCTCGAAATACATCGCCCATTACGCTTCGACCTGATGATGCGATTTGTGCAAGAACCATAAGCCTCCCCCGAGAGCATGCATTTCACTCTACTCGATTACACGGCCACCGTAATACTTTTATGATAGAGTAATCGAATATCGCCATCGCCATCGAGCATCCAGCCGTCACCTCGCCCGAATTCTTCGACCATTTGCGCGATGGTGTCCACCCCCAGCGTTGGTGGTGGTGCGGCGACTGCCCCTGGTGGCAATAGCAACAACCCCAGCTCGAGAAATTCACCCGTCATAGGGACCGGACCGACGAGCGGCGCATCATTGAAACCGAAGCCCAAAATCAATTCCAATGGCTATCATCCGCCGAATCCACAGACAATCCTAAGCTCCCTTACAAGCCCGCCACTTGATCTGAGTTCGGTCGAACGACGCGGTCAGCCCACGGCCGTCCGTGAGCCTCTGAAAAAGAAGAGCCGACCCCACGGAATTGAAGAAGCGCCAACATACTGTCCTGATTTGGAAGAATGGCAAGATCCTTTGGAGTACATTAAAAAGATTGCGCCCGAAGCCTCCAAATATGGAATTTGCAAGATCATTCCGCCTGAGAAGTGGAATCCGGACTTTGCCATTGATACAGAAGTACGTAGGCCCCTCAAAGTGTCACGCAAGAAGCTGGGAAGCATTTGCGATCTCGGGGACGTGCGGCTAACACCTTACAGAGGTTTCATTTTCATACAAGAAAGCAGGAACTCAATTCAGTTGAAGGAAGTGCGTACACGAATAATCTGCCTCACCACACTGCTGACACGCTAGATTACTCACCCTTGTCTAGGATCCCGAGCAAATCTTACGTACCAAGATGGTCTCTTCAAGTTCCATAAGCAACAGGGAAACAATCTTCATCGGCTCCCGTATGTGGATAAAAAACCTCTAGACTTATATCGACTAAAGAAGGCCGTCGAGTCCCGTGGAGGATTCGATAAAGTCTGCAAAGGGAAGAAATGGGCCGAGATCGGCCGTGATTTAGGATATAGTGGCAAAATCATGTCGTCCTTGTCGACATCGCTGAAGAATTCTTACCAGCGATGGCTCTGCCCCTACGAAGATTATCTCCGATTAGCCAAGCCAGGCGTGCACCAGCAGCTAGAGGCTGAATATGGTGGGCCATTAACACCGAGCCCAGCAGGCACTCCGATGAAACGGTCTACCGTGAACACGCCATTGAGTATGAACGCCAATTCTCCGGCCAGGCAAGCATCGGATGCTCTTCAGTCTACCATGAACGGGATCAAAAATGAGGGGGATCAAGACAGCCCCATGCCTGATGCTTCATCAGTATCAACACCCGGGAACACATCAGCCTTCACTTCCGTAAACGCAAGAGCATTCACACCTGTCAATTCTGGCTTCGCGAGTGTGAACCGTCCATCGATTGGCAACAGCAATAACCTACACAATGGCCCCAAAAGGTCCGACAGTCCATTCACGTCATCGAAAAATACTCCAGAACCAGGACCAACGGGCCAGATTGCGACATCTGCGCTTAAACGCCAGCTAAGCTCGGAGAGCTCTTGCGATTTGTCCAGGAAGGAGAAAGACACTGGCAGTGACGCCGGCGACCTCAGCAATCGTCGAAGCAAGCGACTCAAGAAAGGTAAATTTTGCCATCTACCAATCGACCATTCACGGTCACCCGGTTGACTAACTTCAATATAGAGCCTGTGCCCACCGTCGCGGGTTCCCATATGTCTCAATTTCGACCATCTGTTCCACGGATCCCTAGAGAAGATCCAAACGCACAGACCGAGGAGGTAAGAACTAATTGAAACTTGGCTAAAATGCATAGGTGATTGACTAGAGTTCTAGAAGTGTACAACCTGTGGCAAGGGAGATTCTGACGATCCGCTTCTTTTTTGCGAATCATGTGATAATGCTTATCATGGCCAATGCCTTGATCCGCCTTTGAAGCGCAAGCCCGAATCTGAGTGGAACTGTCCCCGGTGCCTCGTGGGTGATGGACAATTTGGATTCGAAGAAGGCGGCCTCTATTCACTAAAGCAATTCCAGCAAAAAGCCAATGATTTCAAACAAGGCTATTTCGAGAAGAAGATGCCCTTCGACAACACACTCAATTGTCACCGTCCTGTCACCGAGGAAGATGTGGAAGCTGAGTTTTGGCGACTGGTTTCCGATCTGGAAGAGACTGTAGAAGTTGAATACGGTGCTGATATTCACTGCACAACTCATGGCTCAGGTTTTCCAACTCTGGAAAAGCATCCGTATAACCAATATGCATCAGATCCATGGAACTTGAATATCTTACCGTTCCACCCTGACAGCTTGTTCCGACATATCAAATCCGACATTTCAGGAATGACTGTTCCATGGGTCTACGTGGGTATGATATTCTCTACTTTCTGTTGGCATAATGAGGACCACTATGCGTACTCAGCCAACTATCAGCATCTTGGCGCAACAAAAACCTGGTACGGGATCCCAGGTGAAGACAGCGATAAATTCGAGGAGGCCATGAGAGAAGCTGTGCCCGAACTCTTTGAGACTCAACCTGATCTCTTGTTTCAATTGGTCACTCTACTCACTCCTGAGCAGTTGAAAAAAGCTGGCGTTCGAGTTTATGCGGTTGATCAACGTGCTGGCCAATTTGTGATTACGTTTCCTCGAGCGTACCATGCGGGCTTCAATCATGGTTTCAATTTCAATGAAGCTGTCAATTTCGCGCCTTGCGACTGGGAGCCGTTTGGTCTAGATGGGGTAGACAGGCTGCAACGTTTCCGGAGACAGCCCTGCTTTTCTCATGATGAGCTCCTATGGACAGCTGCGGAAGGGAGCACTGCTTCAGGATTGAGTATTCAGTCAGCGAAATGGCTAGCACCGGCGCTAAAATGTTTGCGTGACCGAGAGTTTGCGCAACGCAATGATTTCGTCGCCAGGCACACGAAGCTAACGTCTCATCGATGCCAGCTACTGGGCGGCGAAGACGTTTGCCCTCTCAACTTCAGTCTTCTTGATGAGGACGTAACTGACGAGGAGGAGCAGTGCTGTCATTATTGCAAGGCTTTTGCATACCTGTCCCGGTTCAAATGCCTACGTTCTGGCAAGGTGTACTGCATACTGCATGCAGGCCACCAGCCGTGCTGTGAGGCAGGCGAAGACGAACGGTTTCTAGGCGATGGCCATGTTTTGATTTATCGCAAATCCGACCAGGAAATTGATTTGATGTATTCCAAAGTGGAGGACAAGGCTCGCACCCCTGAATTGTGGGAGATCAAGTATGAGAAATTACTTGACGAAGAAACGTACCCATCACTTAAGTCCTTACGAGCTCTTCTTCACGAGGGAGAGCGTATCCCACACGAATTGACGTCTCTAAAAGTGTTGCGACGTTTTGTTGAGCGGTGCAATACATGGGTCGACCAGGCCACTTACTATATCGTCCGAAAGCAACAGAATCGGCGCAAAAACGAGAAAGTATGGCAGACTGGGTCTCGACGTTCAATAGGTTCTAGTCAAATGGACCAGAAGGAGAAGGAGTCGCGAAAGGTCGCCAACATATATCGCCTTCTTGACGAAGCAAAACATATTGGTTTCGAATGCCCTGAGATCGCGCAGCTCCAAGAACGCGCAGCTGCGGTCAGAGAGTTCCAAAAAACAGCCTCCCACGCTATTGATAACTCTCGGTCTATCTCTATCGAAACAATCGAGGAATTGATTGAAGAGGGCCGCAGCTTCAATGTCGACATGGCAGAGCTTGACTCGCTATGTCGAGATCTAGACCAAAGGCGATGGAACCAGAAGGCCCAATCCAGCAGAGGCATCGTCATGTCTCTGAAGGAAGTCCAAGAGCTTGTCGAGGATGCCGAGCGACTTGAGATCCCGAATTATAATGACCATTTTACACATTACCGGGACCAGCTAAGTGCTGGTGAGGCTTGGGAAAAGAAGGTACATGAACTGATCCATGCCGAGTTCGTCCACTATCCGCAGCTCGAAGCTCTGTCTGCTCAAGTAATATCGAACACGCTACCTGTTACACAAGACACTCTAGCAATGATCGACCAAATCCTTCATAAACAACGAGAGGCTCATCGACAAATCCTCGACTTGACAAGTCGGAGCCAAAATACCGACATCCGGGAGAGGCCCAAGTATGGCGAGGTTGTTGAACTTTGCAAAAAGCTCGAGGAGCTGAATTCGAAACCGCAAGGCACCATCGATCTTGAAAACGAAAGAAAGCGACACGAGGACTGGATGAGAAAGGGGAAAAAGTTGTTTGGGAAGTCAAATGCTCCTCTTCACATTCTCAAGACTCATCTCGAATACGTCCTCGAGCGGAACTCGGACTGTTTTAATATTGAGCACGATACCCCACGACATCCTGGCGAACCAGTCTCCAGGGAACCCAGCCCCGAGGATGGAGTGAATCGCTTAGAAGATGGTCGCTCAAGACAAGTATTCTGTATCTGCAGAAAGATCGAAGCCGGCATGATGATTGAATGTGAACTCTGTCATGAGTGGTGAGTAAAGTTATCCTCCTAGTCTTTGTCAAATAAGCCAACCCGGCCGACATTCCAAAAAGCTCTTCAAGAAAACTAATTCGGGGGCAGGTACCACTACAAGTGTCTTAAAATTGCCCGAGGAAAAGTGAAGGAAGATGATAAGTACACTTGCCCCATCTGTGATTGGCGGGTAAAGATCCCTCGGGATGCCTCCCGTCCCAAACTCGAAGATCTCGTGGCTCTAGTTGATGAGATCAATACGCTTCCCTTTCAGCCAGAAGAGGAGGAGCTGTTGCGCCAAATTATTGATGGCGCACAGTCATTCCGCGATCACATTACTCGATACTGCAGTCCAATTCTGTCTACCGAAGCTGAGGTCGAAACCCAACGTTTCTTTCTCAGGAAAATCGAAGGGGCTGAAGTCTTGCTCTCTTTTGAAACGAACTACTTTCGACAGGAGCTGCACAAATGGTCACCAGTCGCCCCTGAGGCACCTCCTATTCTCGAGGTGTCCCTTAGCACGAGGAAACCCCGACCTACGAAGCTTCAAAAGATGCTTGCCGAATATGGGGTAGATAATCCAGACGACTTGCCCGAGCATGCCAAGGGCAAGGCCAATAGTTTACGCCGCAAAGCTATGAATGCCGAAGCTGCTGCTGCCGCACAACTATCTGGCGGCTCGACTCATCCGCCTTCGTCGCACAGTCAGGCCGGAAATCAACCCTTCTTTGGCCGCCATCCACAAGGCGATGTCTCAGCCTCAGGCTCTGCACCGAACCTGAACCTAGGTCCAAATGAGCCTCAGCTTCAAGGAGACGCGATGGCAATCGACAACGGCTTACACCCAGCATTCCTTGGAGCCAATGGGCCTCAACTACACGTTGATGCCTCTAGCAAGTCACTCGAGGACAGACTATTACGAGGCGATGTAGAAGAAAGTGAATTACACACTGAGGAAGGAAAGACTAAGGCTCTTGAAATCCTCAGTCGGACTGAGCAAGGAAGGCAGCAAGCAGAGAAAATCTGGGGCGCAGACGTTTGGGGCTCCCACAACCGATCCCTTGGCCATGAGGCACGAGGTATCACGTCCGCTGACATTGACCCCATGATGAAGCAGGACGATGGGAATGTGGATCAAATGTTCAAGGAAATGACGAATCAGGACGATGACGAAGATCCAAAGAAGAAAGATGCGAATAACGACGAAACAGCACCTAAAAAACTCGCAGCTGAGCTCACCAATAGAAACAAACCAAATGAAGCAACAGGCAAGGACCAATCAGCAAAATGATTGGCAGGAAAGACAAGATCCATGGGTAGGCGTTAGGAACTGGAGACCATAGGTATAGGTGTTTACTAGGATATGGGTCAAGCTTTGGACCAAATAACCGTATTTGGTCGTTATTTGGAGCCCAATGGTGTTTGTTGGTATTTCTCCCGCCTTTTCTTGGGGTCAGGGCACATCAACGATGGAGTTGCATTATTCTTCTTGCACATGGCACCCCGGGCGCAGTATCATAACTCGTTAAAGTTAGTAACTTGAAAGCGTGTACAATAGATAACAAAAGGGTTTCATGGGGAAATTTTCTGTATGTCTTTTCGCATATTACATACTCTATGAATCCAACCAATTGTGGAGCCAAGTTCTCTTCCTTTTTCCCCTAGCTGCGGATGCTGGGCAAGAGCTATCACATGCAGTGAGGGTTTTTTTGCTTTTCAAGATGCAGAACAAATCACGACAAATATAGGTGAAGATGGGGAGTATGGGAGAGTATTTTCTATGGGTAGATCCGGAAATAACATAAATTGCAAACGCTCATATCGAATCTGCCTCTTGTGACAAGGGGGACGTTGAGCCCAGAGGAGAGAGTCTATAATCTTAGATGAGACAAAGACATTTATCCTGAAAGTATAAAAAAAGAGTCATCGGGACCGATTGTTGAATACATGGTCTTCTCCAGAAAACCTTCCCCGCGAATACATATTCGCAAAATCTAACGCCTGTATATGCTCGAAAGAAAACAACCCCCAAGAAAAAGGAATGGCCACATGGCTTCGCTGCTTAGCCCCGGGGTCCCAGGGAAATGCATGCAAGAGAAAGAGAGTGAGTGTTTCTAATTGATCACGCTGGGAGTGGTGGAACGTCTATCGGTTCACGCCGACGAGGCTGAGGAATTCATTCCGCGTCTTCGACTTGCGCTCGAAGCAGCCCAGGACGCAGCTCGTGATGGTTGTGGATGAGGTCTTCTCGACGCCGCGCATGACCATGCAGAGGTGGGATGATTCCATGACGACTGCGACGCCCTGAGGTTTCAGGATCTCCATGATAGCGTGAGCGACTTCTTTGGTGAGGCGCTCTTGGATTTGTAGGCGGCGGGCAAACATCTCAGCGATGCGAGGCAGCTTGGAGAGGCCAATGACGGTCTGGGATGGGATGTATCCAATGTGCATCTTCAATGGCAGTCAGCCGTCTGTATCACAGTCCATTTTGGTCTGGAGGGTCGCAAGAACGCTCCATCACTCCAAGTACATACCTTGCCAATGAATGGAACCAGGTGGTGTTCGCATAGGGAGTGGATCTCAATGTCTTTTTTTACCCCTCCGGTTAGTATCAACGTCAAAACGAAGGCGGGCAATGCAATCACAAACTTTTGACTACAATGAGCTCGTTGTGGCCTTCGTGGAAGAGCGCGCCGTTCACGAGATCCTCCATGCTCTCCTGGTAGCCCTTGGTGAGGAACAGGAGGGCCTTTGCGTAGCGCTCCGGGGTGTCGAGTAACCCCTCACGGTCCGCATCTTCGCCGACGCACTCGAGCAGGGTGCGGACGGCGCCGCGCATCTTCTCGAGGCGCTTCTTGGCTTGTTCCGGGCTCTCCTCGCGGCGCTCGAGGGTTCCAATGCCTAGTTTTTATCCAGTCAATGACAAAGGCGCAATATGTCTCAGGTTCTTGCCTATCAGTCAGATAGGACAAGAGTCCGGGGGGCTACCTACTCGGCCGGCTTAGCCCGTCAAAGTCGACGACTGAACTCGGGGTGGTCTCTGATTCCGCATCGCTCTGTGTCGTCGCGGCTGCGGCGGCCGCCTTGGCCTTCTTCTTGGACTTGACGGTGACGACGGGCTCGTCGCGGGGGTCCCTGGCGGCACTGCCCAGGCTGTTGCGCCTCTTGTCGAAGGCCTTGGAGCGCGCCGGGGAGACGCCATTGGTGCTGCTCTTGGCGCCGTTGCGCTTCTCCTTGCGCTTCTTCTTGTGGGCGGAGCCGTCGCTCGAGGTCGAGCTGCCGGAGATGCTGGCGGTATCGTGGGGTCGCTTCCTGGTCAGGGACCGCTCGGCGTCGTCGATGGACACCATGCTGGGCGCGGGGAGAAATTGGAAGAATCGCCCGTAGAAGGAATCAGTGAGGTGATGCGCAAAGGATAGGGTTCAATTGAGGAATGGTGATGGAGGAGGAGCGAGATCGGCTATAAACGGGGACGGGGCAGAAGAAGAATATAGCACGTTTCTTGCTGACTCGGTGCAGGTTGACTCGGTTAGAATCCGAACATGGGCCTATTAGGAGCTATATAAAGGTAATGGAGCGTTTTACGGGTTCTCACGAGAGATCTATATACTGTAAACCTTGCCCATAATTAGCCACTACGTTAAAATGTTCTCGGCCCGGGCAATCCTGTTCGCAAAATCATCCGACTCAACCGACAAAGCAGGTCAGAAAAATTCCAGGTCCCAAGGGTCCTATGATCCTTATCGCTTATCGTCGACGTCAAGTGGGAGCGGGAGCGGGAGGGACAACCGGTCATGTGATAGGTACGACGGTCTACTTGGGGTAAACGTCGAGAGAGTTCCCAGGGTACTAAATTACCAATCCATGGGAGTCAGCGACTGTTCAATAAATATTTTCAATGTCAAGTGTATTGTCGCATCACGGCAGTTTGCCGACTACAGATGCATTGCGAGCAAGGCAGGGTCAATGATGAAGTATTTTGTTACCCTGTTATTGGTCAAATATAGTGGGTAACTGTTAGTGGGTACATGTGCCATCATGTCCCGTCTCGCTTTAGGCCGGGTCTAGCTGCAGCCAAGTCGTGAAACGCGTCTGCGATCATCTGTCTGTTGAATCTCCTTTCTCGAGTCGTCACTGCAAGCACCTACTGCCCGCTACGCTTTTCTCCCAAGGCGCCTATCGACTTCTAAGGCGAGGTATTCTTGCATCGCTTCTGCGCTGGCATCCCGAATACCTCCACTCACCCATCTTGCAACCTGATATATCCAGCTGTCGCTGGCTTTCCGAACAAACCTTCCATCATGGCCTCCCCTCCCAACCCCAGCTCGCCTGCTGCCATGTCTCCTCCAGGTCCTTCAGCACCGCAGATTTCCGTCAAAAAGCGCAGTTCCACATTCGATATCAACGGCCCTAATAAGCGCCGCAAGGCCTCCAGCACGTCCAACAACCTCATCCATCCCCTACGTCAAACGTCCTTTCCGCCCGAAGCCCGCTCTCCATTCCCGCGATCGCCTTCGGTGGACTCTGCTTCTCATGTTAGCGGCAGCCAAGTAAGCGGAGTCACGGCAAGCGGTGCGCCGAAGAAGAAACGAGGGCGCAAGGCCAAGAACGCAAAGGGTGGAGGTGAGTCGGCCACACCCAGCTTGGTGGGTGGGAAGGCGGCAACTTCCGTGAGCGGGCATGGCGGCGAGGACAAGGACGCAGAGGAGGAGGATGAAGATGACGACAAGGCAGAGATGGCCCTGGAGGATGTTGGCGCACGAACTCAGGAGCAGAAGCAGGAAGAGATCAGGCTGAGGGCTATGCTGGTGGAGGCGTTCGACCCCGAGCAGTACAGTCGGTACGAGCACTGGCGTGCTATGAAGCTCACGGAATCTGTTGTCAAGCGGGTAGGTTTTCACTCTTGTTGCACAGATTTACCCCGGATTCGTTATCAGGTTGCGGACATGTGGTTAACAAATTCTATCTAGGTTGTCAACGCTACGGTATCCCAATCAGTACCAGGAATGGTTACGACCGCGGTCAAAGCAGTGACAAAACTGTTTTCCGGAGACATTATCGAGCTGGCCCGACAGGTGCAGAGCGAGTATATCCGTGCTGGTGAGAGCCAGTCCGATCTGCCAACCCCACCACGCTCAGGCGCCGAAGGGGACACAGAGGAGGATGTCGAACTACACAGAGGGCCCCTTCGCCCAGAACATCTGCGTGAAGCTTGGAGGCGGTACAGGCTTGCTGGGGAGAGCCGTGGCGTCGGCATGCAGCAGCTTTGGCATCACCAGAAGCAAGACGGGGTGGAGCGGTTTTCAACAAAGACAGGAAAGAGGATGTTCAAGTAGAGAACGGGGAGGCTTGGTGATATGATACCCTTGGGATTGATTTATTGAACTCGGTTAGCGATGTAACATTTACAGCAAGGACAAACACGGCGTATGGAAGGGAAGGGTTCAAGGATGCATCTAGGCGTTTGGCAAAAAAATCACGGAGAATTGGTTATATTCAATTAATCACCAGAGTTATCATCACTTTTTATATCTGATTTGGTCAGAGAAGAATGACACGGTATTGTCGAAATCATTATGCGGTTGAATGGCGGGTTTGGAGCAGTGGCCCAACCCATATTTGGAAATTACTGGCCCACCAAACGAAACATTCACTCCCTTTCACAAGCCAAGATCGCACTCATCAACTATACACTGCAGACGACTTCGCTTTAATGCGACTTTCATTATGATTGCTCCATCTCTGCTGGCACTCGGTGCCGCTTCCCTCCTGATTGCCCTCTGTCTCAGAATGGCCAACATACCTGCGCCTACCCAACTGCATAATAAGACGATAGCACTCTTGATAGCCCATCCCGATGATGAGGCCATGTTCTTCGCGCCCACGGTACTCGCCCTATCGAGGAAGGAGACTGGGAATCGTGTGAAAATCCTGTGCCTGAGCAGCGGCGATGCGGAAGGCCTTGGTGAGACGAGGAAGAAGGAGCTGGTGAAGAGTGGATTACTTCTTGGGTTGAAGAGCGAGTCGGACGTAATGGTGATAGATAATCCAGCGTGAGTCCCCGTCTCTTCGACTTATGGTCATTTCATGAGATAATACCACTCTTCAGCACTGGTGAATAAGGGACTAACTGACAGGAACCTCTTGCTGTTTGACAGCCTGTTCCCAGACTCGATGACGACTCACTGGGATACCGATGAAATATCGACTCTTCTTCGCACTACGTTCATGACCAGCGAATCATCATCCGGCTCGCCCAAACCCACCATTGATGTGTTGATCACATTTGATTCAAAGGGCATATCGTCACATCCTAATCACATTTCGTTGTTTCACGGCGCACGAGCATTCATCTCGTCGCTTACACAGCCAGGCTCTGGGGTAGACCGAACCGTCAGTCTGTATACATTAACCACAGTGGGTGTGGCAAGGAAGTATGCAGGCGTATTTGATCGTCTCTTCACTCCGTTGCTTGTGCGTGGTGGTATGGGAAGCCATGGGCAGGTCATGCCATCCAGTCTTGTTTTCATGCACGGACTCGGACAGGGAGGCTGGCGTACTGCACGCGAAGCCATGACTGCGGCACATGTCAGCCAGATGAGATTGTTTCGGTACGGGTGGATCACACTGAGTCGGTATATGTTTATAAACACTCTTGAAATGGAGGAGGTGAAATAGTCTATAGACTAGGTAGTTTTCGGTGGATGTTGTCTTTTCGATGTATAATTGCAACAACGTGGGCTGTGAGAGCCTCGGCTCTTATATTGATCCACCCAAATGACATTCAATCATCGAGTACCTCTGGTATATGGGGACTCGAGAGAACGGAATACTACACTGGACGGAGCCATTGACGAATTAATTGTAAATGTCACCCATATGGAAATTCTCGTAACTCCGAGTATACTGATCATGGTGCTATTCTGCGTATGATCCGTGATGTTTGTATAGGGTAGGCGGTTAAATGCCTGCCCACCTAGGCAGGTGCTATTTGGAAATGGATCGTCAAGATCGGCAGTTGTGAAGTCGTGTTGAAACCGAAGCTCCCAATTGGTGGTCCCCCAGTCTCAAGTTGCTACCTGATACCAATTTCATTAAAGCACGGGACGGCATTTCTTCCACATTGGCCTGGCGACATCTCGAGCTTACTTTCCTGGCGTAGCGTAACTGAATGCATGAAGCTCGACTGAAGGATTTAAAGTTCTATTTGGCTGCTGTTTACTCGGTCCCTTCGCAGTCAGTCGGTCCAAGTTTATCTCTCTATAGCAGGATCTAGAACCATCATCATGAAGACCGCTGTTTCCGCTGTTCTTCTGCAGGCCCTGGCTGTGCAGGCCATCCGCATTATTCAGTCAAACGATGATGGCTGGGCTGAATCATACACCCGCTCCTTTTTCTCTTCCCTGACCAGCGCTGGCAACACTGTCTGCTTGTCAGCTCCCGCAGACAACAAATCAGGCGTAAATACTCACCCCCTCGCCTTGTATATCTGAAGTTCAAGCTAACTGTATTCAGACCGGTGGTCTGGATATTGACCCCGAGCCTCGCAGCAGTGCTTGTCAGTATGACAGCTGCCCGGCTAACAGCGGCGCAACTGGCAGCAACGCGACCCAGCCAGAGCTGAACTGGGTCAACTCCTTCCCTGCCACCTCGATGCGCTACGGCAGGACCAAGATCTGCCCTGCCCTGTGGAACGGCGCCGCGCCGGAGCTTGCTGTTGCCGGCCCCAACGTTGGATCCAACCTCTTCGCTGCCGTCCACTTCTCCGGCACCGTTGGCGCTGCTTGCGACGCCGCCAACGCTGGCATCCCGGCCATCGCATTCTCTGGCGCGACCGAGGACCGGGTTGCCTGGAACACCGTGCCTGTCCCCCACAGCGGCGAGGTGTACGCCGAGCTGGCCACCACCATCACCAGCAAGATCATCGCCTCCGGAACCCCTTACCTGCCCGAGGGTATCTGGCTCAACGTCAACTTCCCCCAGGTCACCGACGAGTGCAACGCCGCCTCGGACTTCAAGTTTGTCCTCAGCCGGATCAACCCTGGGATCCTGAGCCCACCGGATGTTGAGCAGTGTGGCTCGACGCGACTGCCCCAGGAGCTGGAGGTCATCAACGCCGGAGGGTGCCGTGTCTCCATTAGTATTGGTGACTCGAAGGACAAGACTACCGCTAATGACGACCGCCAGGACGCTGTTCTTGCCAAGTTGAAGGATATTTTAACCTGCCTCTAAACAAGCATGGTGATAAGCTTAGAGGGAGATGCTATGTGTGAATAGGTTGGATAGTACATATATCGGTTCAAACTTGGAGTATATAAAAGCCCGCGGATACGTCTGGTGTAAATAAAATGTATTTGGGAAAGAGTGTCGGTAAATTTGTGGCGCGAAAATGATCACGAGATTTTGTCTTCCGTTATTTGTAGAAATGAGCAACCAGTATATGTTTATTTTGGGGGAAGCTTTCTCGATTCACAAGCTGTGGTATGATTAAGCGCGAGCACCAAGATACATGTATGCATACAAGAAGAATTGTATGATATCTGCGGACTGAGAGAGTCGCTCGGAACCGAAACAAACTTTGAAAACAGGACCAGCCTAAATTATGCATGATGGTGCTGAAACTGAAATATCAGCCATTTGTTTGAGGCCGATCTGTATGGCTGTTTCATCAGAGGAGGAGCGCTGTCACGGTGGAGTTACTCTTATCGATCCCGGATTCTTATCGGCCCACGTAAATTGTGTGGCATCCTGAGATCTAAGGCATCACAGTTTTTTGCGTCCATTGGGAAAAGTACATGTCGTGAGAAAGGCATAACGATCGCTAGGTATCGAAGAGCTCGGAAACCACAACCACCCATCATGGCACCAATGGACCGATGCTTGGCCTCAATGGCCAGGCTGAGCCTCGCGCACCCCGCCAGACCGACTCTCTCGGCAGCTTCACGATGTCTCGCACCGGGACTCCTCCAAACGCAAAAACAGACCTACGCCTCAGTCGTTCGAATCAGAACAAAAGCAAAGAAGAAGAAGGTTGTGCCCAAGGATTTCAAACGACACAGACTGGATAAGACGGAGTTTCCTCAATTTTCTCTGGTTGAGGCTATGCGGTATGTTGGGTGGTTTGCGCTATGATCTCATGGGACGTTTCCACTAACCCATGACCATAGAGTCCTTCGTGCGTACGAGGTCGGCAAGCCCCCCGGTGGTGTCAAGTACGAGCTCAGCGTCAACCTCAAAACCTTCCGCAACGGTCCCGTGATCAAGAGCAGCATCCGTCTGCCCAACCCCGTACAGAGCGACTGGCAGATCGCCGTCATCTGCCCAGAAGGCAGTGCGATAGCGAACGATGCTATTAACGCTGGTGCCAAGGCAGTCGGCGAGAGTACTCTGTTCGAGGCCATCAAAAACGAGACCATCGAGTTCGACAGGCTCATCTGCCACGAGTCGAGTGAGAAGGCGCTGCAACAGGCCAACCTAGGACGTATCCTGGGTCCCAAGGGTCTGATGCCCAATAAGAAGATGGGGACGATTGTGACCGATGTGGTGAGGTCCATCCGTGACTCTGCGGGTGCGGCGGACTACCGTGAGAGAATGGGAGTCATCCGCATGGCGATCGGACAGCTGGGCCACACACCCGTCCAGCTGAGGGCGAATATCGAGGCTGTGATGAAGAAGATTAAGACACAGTGTGCTGAGCTTTCAGAGGATGTTCCCAAGGATGTCCATGAGGTCATTCTTAGCACGACAAACGGTCCCGGACTGAGCCTCAACGGAAAGTTGAAGAACCTCGAGGACAAGACTGCGCCGGAGGCTGTGTCTGGGCAAATGTAAATTGCCTGTCCCCAGGCTTGTATTATTGTATCATATCAAAAAGCAACTATACACTATTTTGGAATACCATTAATGCCAAAGTTTGAGGGGCATAGAATATGTGCTAATGACACAACGGTCGATTTAAAAACACGAATTGGGTATCATTGGCTGCTTTTTTGTACATTTTGCTAGTACTTATGATTTTCGAAGAGACTTGACTGCTTCGTTTTGTGCATCGATAATTCGATACACCCCCAAGTATCTCAAAATTCTGCCCTTGCCTTTGGGCCCCGCAGCTCTGGCTTCCTTGAGCGCATTCCCAAGGTCTAGTAGCAACGTATTCCGACATCTGTTCAGTCGTTCTTCTGCCTTGACCACGAATGGGTGGTTCTGATCTAATGTTTCCACCATGTCCATAATGTACCTGCATTGATGAGCAGATATTGTAAGCTTCGCTGGAGAACTTGCTACTAAGCCCACCGCATGGGAATGCCCGTCTTCGTCTACCTCGTCCTCGCTGCTTTCGATGTCGGAATCCCACATCTGGTTCTGTTTTGGCGCCGCTGACGGGAGACTGTCAAGGGCAAGCCTTTCTTCCAAGGTGGACAGGCGGTCTGACAGCTCGAGGAGCTCCCGCCCCGTTTCTATATCCGCCCGGACATCCCCCAGTTCACCATTGAGGGCGGCAGTCTGCTCCTTCCGCTGCGTTACCTTTTCCTTGACCTCTTCCACAGCTTTACGGAAGCTGAGCAGGGAGACCTTGACATCTTCCACCTTGTCATCGCCCCCCCGGAGGTCGTTCCCCAATGATAAGAAGGCGGTATAGTTTGAATTGACAAGCTCCAGCAGCTCAGAGCTGATGGCGGCGCTGCGTTCGCGGAGGTCGGAGCGCAAATCTTCTAGTGTTTGGTGGCGGTGTGACAAAGCGGAGAGGTAGGCGGCCGGTTGGAAATCGGAGGCAAGGAAGTCGGACCGCGGGAGGGCGGCCGGGAAGGGGAGAGGAGCATCGTCGTCATCCGGGCCATCTGAGCCATCGGGCGATGTGTTCGTAGAGGACGGGAAGCTGAAGGCCGCCGAGGCGGAACGGGATGCCAACGGGGGCGCGAGATTGGCCATTATCGATGGCGACAGCAATCTGGGCCAGGATCTGAGATCTGGGACGCTCGATTCGGGGTCCGAGCCAATACCACCACCGGTTGGGAGGCAAGACGAACGCTTCGCCTGGGCAGTAGGTGCTTAGCTCAGGGCCAGATGCATGGTGGAGGGTGGGGCGGAATTGGCCTGAGTCGCGGGTAGGTTAACTTTACACTGGCGCTGGGCTTGAGAGGCGTCTGCTGCATTAAGCAAATAACCCCACTATATGCATGAAACACCTTGCATGCGTGCAAAGCAAAGCTTGAGTGCGCTGCAGCCAATGATCTATCATTTTCCCGAGGCATACAGCGTATATCTCCATCCTCGAGACGGGAGCGTTGGGGAAACACTGCGATTTCGGAGTCAGGCGATCTGCTGTGGAATGGCCTGGTGTGGGATCGCAAACTGGTATGACTCGGGCCGTACTCGAATGACATCGTCTGATTGCTGGGCACGAGTCCGACTTTCGGTTTTGGGAGCAGGTGGTAGGTGCCTTCTCGTCGGTGGCCCCTCGTATCTCCGCAGGGGCGAGTGGTATTGGCGCACTAGGTCCCTGAAGGACCAGCAATGGATCCATCTGGCTGTCTCAAAACAGGAGGGGACCGGCGGCAAAGGCAGGGGTCCCAATATTCAGCTACGGGGTGCTTCAAGGTTGTTTCTCGGCGATACGTAGGCATGTCTATCATCCTCCACAAGGGCCTTCCTTGGCTCACTCTCCTGGCTGAGCCGGA